TTTGATCGTTTAGTTATATATATATATATATATAACTAAACGATCAAATAAAGGAATGAATAGTGAATTATTTTTATTATGTGTTAGTGTGACTAGCAGGCAGCAGTCATCATTGCCCATTTTATTGCAAATCCACTACTAGCAAAATCTCATTTTTAATATTTAATTCAATTAAAATGGGAAAATACTCTATGAATTATGTAGTCAAATAAGCGGACACGGTGGCTGTTACTACTGTCAGTAGGTCAGTTTATTCATTCATTTGATAATGATGTTGATGCAAAAAGCATTGCGTGAGTGACCTCATGTAATGACCTGACATCAATAATAATCAATTGTAAAGGTCAAGCATTATTACATACTGTTTACTCACGAGTTAGCGTACTGAAATAATTGTAAGGGATGTGTGCATCATTTCACTAACTTTTTTTTAAACAATTGACATTCATATGAGTAGTCAATCCTGTAGAATATAGCATAAATCAGACATAAATATTTTGCAGTTTTAGAGTAAACTGTTTTTTATTAAGCTATTTTTATTATTACTAACTTCAACAATAAATTTGATCGAATAATTAGAAAAGTTTTGCATATTTCATGCACAAGGTTGGTTCACTTTTTGCTGAAAATTTTTGACTTTCGTTTGATTCAGTTTCAAATACAGGTTGTGTTATCAACTTAAGTGAGATTCTTTACATTTTACCTATTTCAGAAATTTTGAAAATAAAACCTCCTTATCAGTTTTAATTTTGCAATTTACCATTTTTGAAATACACATTATTTTGCAAAATACGCGTCTAATATGAAACTAAATAATGTGCATTTTGCACCTATTACTTGCCTGAATAAATATGCGATAGTATAAAATGAAATAAATGTTGATAATTATTAGAAAAACATTTATAGATGATGCAAGTAACGCAAGCAAATTTTTATGGGCTTTAAATTGAAAAATAAAAATTTTTAAAAATATGGTAGCTGCAATATGGTAGTTATTATTAAAAAGTTATGCTCAGTATCAGCCCTCTCTTCTTGGCAAAATATTTCAGTGAAAGAGTTATTTGTAGTTCAGCTACACAATGAATAAAAACATTTTGCTTACAAAGCAGTTTCAATGACTTGAACCAGTTACATTAACAAAATGCATAAAACTAGCAAAATGAAAATGAAACTAACAGTTGCAAATCACATGAATAATGAATAAACTTATATAATGAATTTAGAAAAATAGGTCATAGTGGATATAATCAGAAGATAAGAAAATATGCATCACTAAGATTCTATAGTACATAATGTCTTAGAAACCAACTACTTTTATCCAGTGCTAGATTAGGTTATGATAATAATGTAAAAGATGATTTGAAGTTAATAGACTTTCATTCTTGAAAATGTTTTTAAAAATTTGAAAACTTTTGGAAATTGACTTCATGTTTTTTATTTTTAAGCCCAGTATGCAAAAAAAAAAATTTCATGCACTTAAGGTTGGGTTAATGTTCATTTCATGGTACTGAATGAGTCAGGGTACTGAAGCATTATTTTAGGTAACCATAAATATATTTTATTGAGAAAAAAGAGTATTTGAATACTGTAACTGATTCTCAACCACTTCAGATATTTTTTTGTCAGATGGAATCATATGGTGATGCTAGGACAAAGTTAAGATTCAATTTCAAGAGAAGATCATTCATAAAGACTAAATGTAGCACTCAAATGAGAAGTGCTGGACCATCTGCTACTTGTAGACTGCGTTTAATCATTCTTCATTTCAGTAAGTGCTAGCAATGCATCCACCCATATGAGTTACTCAAATCTCATGAATTCCTTGTCATTTTTCTTGAATGTTCATCAGTGCTAAAATGATAGAACTCTCCATGTTGATGTCAATCTCTTTCGTTCGAGGACTAAAGTAACTTACCTGACAAGTTCACATTAAATTTTTACAAATTTAAATAGTGATGGACCCACACTACGTTTTTAATGCGAAAACGGATGAAGACAAGAGCAATTTTAACGAGGTAAGGACTTTACTACAGAACAATCAGCTGCTTTAGAACTCGAACTAATCATTTCTAATGCTTCTAGAAAAGATCTCACAACACAAAATCTGCAAAAAATAGCTCCCAAGATCAGTCAGTTGGCTACGATTTATACGAAAACAGAATAAATGAGAATTTTCCACTTGCAAATATATTTAAATTTATCTTTATCCAATCATAGAATTTAATAACAACACAGAAATTCATTTCAGTAATTTTTGCAAATGTTCCGTACTTTTTTCCAATTGAGGATTGCATGCAGCAATTTATGCTTGTAACATATATCTTCACATGAAAATAATTTCTTACTTAAATAGAATAAAAACTAGTAATTCTGAAAAATTTGGAAAAGTCGCCTATGTACTTTATTTATTTATACACAGCTAACATCATCTATCACTATAAAAATAGCTGCGTCAATTATCATAAAGGATAACACAGCAGTTGAAGAGTCTCTGACAAAATACCAAACGTTTTGGGCAATCACACCTGAAATGTACTTCTAATCACAGTTATAATAAATTCAAAACACAACTTTAGCATCCATTAATGATAAAAACATAAATACCTGCATGTGATATGAAATCAATGCTCAATCCCAGTTGTAAGCTTGAATAAAGTGACTGAGCATCAGCTGCAGAGAATGACGCCGGCTAAAACAAGTTAGAAAATTTAAATGATGGTTAATTATGAAAACAAATTTAGAACGTTTATAGAGACGGATATTATTTTTTTGAAAATTGTGATCTAAATTGTGTAATTAACGGCAATGAAACGGTTCTAGCAAAATGAATTATTGTGAGTTTTAAAAACCCAAAACCTGAAAAAACCCTGAACAGACAGACGTCAAGTAAAAAATAATCCAAGGCCACACAATATTTTCGACCAGTGAAAACGAAACTGCCAATCGTAAAATCAATCCTATATTTGAAAAAAAGAATTTTCTAAAAGTAATTATTTAACGACAGCAATAAACACTAACTTAAGAAAATTGAGTACAAAACTACTTGCATCAGCAACAACTTTTTCCTGAATAGTCTGGCAGCAATAATTGTAATTTCTAGAACATACCGATCAAAACGACTACCGACGAACGACTTACTGACCCACACTCCAGTGATGAGAATATACTGCTCGGTAACACGGTACTTTCACTGCTTTCATTCAGAAAATCCACAGACCGAAAAAAAAAAGCAATTAAGGACAAGCATCAAATAAAATAACAATATCTCGAGAAAAGTTCAAAATTTTTTTTTACCATTGACTATCAGTTTATATTCTAGCTTATTTTAGCCAGCATCATTCTCTTCTACTGATGCTTAATCACTTTATTCATACATATCAAAAATCGTAGCAAATGACTTAAAGACAATGAGAACATGTTTTTAAGTAACTTACTGTGCTGAAAGTCCTGAAGAATTCAGCGAATTTTGGAAGCTTCCTCCACCTTCAACTGTGGGCTCACATCGAGTCTCAGCTAAATGTTAGAAATTAACAGAAATCACTAGGTACTTGCAGAGATTCTGTGCAAAAAAGAGAACAAGAACACACTTCCATCCGGCCCACTTAAAATGCTTTTGATGCGTGCATCAGAGTTTTTCAAAATACGTTCCCGCCTTTGTGCACGCCTTTGAGCAGCATCCATGACTTCAGATCCTACAGTACAAATTAACTGGAGCTATCGATTCCCATTCTGGCACAATTTCCTGTCGAAATAACTTTAAGTGACTAGATTTTGAACTGTTTATTTTATTTCATTGACATCTTAAAGCAGAAGACTAATTACATTTTCTTCTTTTACTTTTTTTTCTTCCAAATTAATTAATGATGATTTTTAGATGTGGTAGTCAGCAGAAACCGTAAATCCGAACAGCAATAAATATATATGTAGAGAAAAAAGTTGAAAATTTGTAGAATATATCAGCATGAATGAAGTAAGCACGGAAAAATTAAATAGTTTTATGAGCAAAAAATTTGAGTCCTATTAAAACTACAAAGTAAAAAACTAGTTACAACATGAAAAGGCTCATTAAAGATAGGTCAATAATGTCACATATATAATATTAATAAATATATCTAATAATGAAATGAAATAAATGTGCTGCTTTTCAATGGAAGGATGCAAAAATTTTTTGGACCCTCATTTCACTAAGATCAAGGATTTAAACAGTTCTAAGTACACAATTATAACAGTTGGGATGCAAATTTTTTTCAGCATAAATTTAAAATAGTAATCTTTTCGGTTTTTACGAATCGAAACTTTTTACAAACGATAGTGCTTGAATGATAGAAAGTAATATGCAACAGAAACTACGGAATTTTAAATTAAAAAAATTAGAGATAAAATAAAAATCTACAGCAAACTGAGTGAAAAACTGCTGCTATACTAAATTTTTTTCGTATCATTCACGATCTGGGAAATAAGGGGTGAAATTTCTTTATCTGCCCGGTAACGAACGTTGATTTTTTCTAGCATAACGAACAGCTTTTTATCAGCAGCATAATTAGCAGCTTCAACGGGTTTCCTGCAAGGAATACTATTCTGAATAATGTGCTTGACTTTTCCTAACAATGAAAGGAACTCCTACAATCTTATTATTACTATATTCTACAAATGTTGAAAAAATTATGACACCAAAATGCCAAATATTTTAGAGCTAACAGGAAACTACTTTGTTCTGGAATTAAAAAAAAATGAATATTTGGAATATCTTACTTTAATAAGAGTAAGCTTTCGACTACATCGACTGGATTTGTAAGTTTCTCAATGAAGGATCTACATAATGATTCATTTCCATAACGCGCACAAGCTTCAATAAATGGCTGAAAATAAACAGTTAAAATACTGGAAGTTGTAAGAAAAAGTGGAAATGTAAATCTGTGGAAGTAAAAAAGATAATAAAAAGTTGGACTTGCCATGCAGTTAGTTAAGATTTTTTTGGTTTTGAATAAATTTTCAAGATGATGCCATAAATTATTTCGAGCAAAGCCTTCAACTTTCCATAAGTATGACCTAGAAAAATCTCTTCTTAATATGATGAAAAATCCTAATAGAATGCAGTAACTCTCTCCACTGATACCATTATTGAAACAATATTAGAATTCCTCACACGTTTTTACCCGTAATGAAAATAAGGTCTTATTATGTGTTCGAAATTCTGAGAAAAAAACATGCTCTCTTGTACATATTAGATTTCACTTTTCAGATATCCCAAATGCTCCTCCTACATTACCGTTTACCAAAAACACGTACATCATGATTCGTATTCTACGACCTAGTCTGTTTTGTACTCCATCATACATACAAGAAAATTTTGCAAACTTCTATGCTACACTTAATCAGATTCTCAACTTCATAAAGTAAATTGACTACTAATAAACTTTTTAGCTGTACAAAAAACTTTACGAAAAACTTACACTTTTTCAGTCAATTTGAATTTTTTTTTGAGTTGTTCAACCAAAATGTCTTCATGGTGTCCTACAGCCCAGATATAAACCGACCTAACACTTGTTCTATCTACATCAATAAAATCAGGCTTCCCATCCAACGCCTCACATATACGAAATAACTCACCAGTTTCTGCAACTAACTGAGCTGTTGTGTGTTCCTAAAACACAAATGTCTTAATATTTTAGTATTACATCAACTACTTTTAAAGCGATTCATTTCACACTGAAAGTTAGGGTCTTTATACCTTCAGTTTATTCAAACTTGTTTCTGCTTTCAATAACTCTTCTATTTTATCTTTGTTATCAAATGGATTCCACGGCGTTAACTCAGATTCTTTTAAATAATAGAGAGACTGACGAGCAAAGTCATCTTTCTGCACATATAATGCTAAAAGATGACGTGGTGCTTCATCCTGAAATCAAATTTTTTCACAAATAGAGATATAAAAAACTCTGCTGAACTAGTACGATTACTAGAATTTGGAACAAACTTAACATTATTACTTTCAAATAATCTTGATAAAGACAAAGAGCCTGCGGTAATTTCAATACAAGATGATCAATGATTTCCTTTTTCTCCGTTCTTTTCAAATAAGTCAAGACATAGTGCACTGAAATGTATGATAATAAATTAAAGATCAGAATAACTGATAGAATTACTCTAATAGAGTGAGTTTGATTGTTTAACTGCATCTAAATATTGAACAAATTTGTTACTGAATATCGGAACACTTGAAAAAAGAAAAACACTTACAAAGATCTGGTTGCTGACTCTTAGCAGCTTTTGCTAAAGCACGGTCAACTTTATTGAGCTTCATAAGTACTTCGACCTGTCTACTAAGACATGTTTCTCTATCTAGTAAAAGTTCAGCTAACTCATTTAAATTAGCATCAGCAGCTTTCATTGCCACATCTACAAAATGTAAAATTTCTAGAGAAAAAAAAAGATTCGACAATTTGTAAACTGCATTTTGATATCCACCTGCAAAGCTCACTTCAGGATAACCAATAAATTTGCTGACGATTACTTCTGAAAGAGACTTGAAATTCGGTGCCTTTCCTGATTCTTTCGCTACTTTTGCGATTTCGATCTGGAAAAAATGTAAGAAGCGATATTATAAGACTAAATTAGATTACCAAAAATGACCCAAAATTAAGAATGATAAGTTAATTATAACACATATAAAAGTAAATAAGACACATATGAAAGTAAATAAGAACAAAACTTATAAAGAAAAGATAAAACGGGAAGTAAAATTACTGTTTTCAGTGCCCAGTAAGCTAAAATCCGGTGAACCCCATCTTTTGAAGGCACTTTCATGTATCGACTTATAGATATTGCAGCAGCCCACTGTCCCAAATCTATAAGACGATCAATCAGTGAACCTATTTTCAGTTCTTCTGACCTGAAAGTAATAAGAACTACTGTAAAAAGGGAAGCTCAACAAAGAAATTTTTGCACATAACTGGATCAATTTATGAAACCAAAGTCAACATATACATTAAGTCCCCACTTTGTGCTCTCAATTACAAAAAATAGCCAAACACTTTGGATAAACATGGTTCAATTTCTTGTGTAAAGCAAGCAGCTGTCGACAAGAAGTAAATCTTCAAAACGACTAACTTAAGATGCCCACCAAAGATTAAAAAGAATGAAAGAAGCTCTATATGTAGCATAACATTAAACAAAATGCGATAAGAAATGAAATTTTTGTGACTACATAAAAGTACAGTGAATCCTACTCTAATAAAGTATCCTTTACAATACCATACTAAAAGTCCAAAATTAAGATCTCGTAAAGTGTATTAGGCAAACTATTTTAATGACTGAATAAGGGACCAAATGATGATGGTAATAGTCAAATCATATTTCTTACGTTCAGTAAAAAATCATATGAATGAACAGAATTAACCACAATTTGTGTACCATTCTTCTATGAAAAAGCATTTCAATTCATAATGGAGGCATGCATAACTTTTTGACCAGTAAAACACTTCACTAGCAAATTGCAATGAAATTCAAGAAGTCTACTGTGCAAATGATAATCCAAATCCAATATAAGGCTTTCGCAAGAAATTCAAAACCCTCGTTAAACGGCACAAATCAACAAACTGAGAAGCATCTTGTCTCTTTACGAGTGATTTTCCAAGTGATGCTGCCTGTAATGTATAATTTTTAAGGTCGGTTTGACTTCTTTGAAAAGCATTCCTCAGAATTTTGTATTTCACAATGTTTGAACATACACAAGTACAAACCCTTAGCATTTTCTTCTGTAATACTGAGTCAAACTGGTGCGCTGCTGCCAAAAGACATTGTTGTATAGCATCTTCCATTTGACTTTCTGCAATGAAATATTTGAATACGGCAAAGTAATTACATAAATTTAAAACAGATATTTCAATAAAAATGTCAATATGTCCTTAACAAAAACTTCACCGATCATCTGAATATATTCATATACACCGTAAGTCCCTTCAACGAGCTTTTCTGAAGCATCGTATAAAATTGCACCGGGTTGCACTGATGCAACACTTAACACACAGTCAACTGCATCTGCATTCAAAATATACATTAAAAACAGTGAAAAAAAAAATTCACCATTTCTGGACTTCTTCAGAAATATTGAATCATAATTTCACACTTCAACAATCATCAGCGCTAAAATTTTATATTCCAAGCAAAAATTAGTGATAACTATCGCACAATGTAAAATGCAAATTATTGAAGAAAAGAACAAACAAACCTGGAACTTGGGATAAAAGAATGAGTTGATTAGAAGTGAATACTTTGATACCATCAAGCTCCATGTCGATTTCTACGCAAGTTTCAAAATCATATCTTGAATTTGACTATATAATTTTGCAGACTCATATGAATTAATTAACATTTAATGACATGCTGGTTAATTCCAAAGAAAATTCCCCTTACGCTTTCCAGATTCTGCCAAATCCCTTGTTAAAATAAAAAAAAATAAAAAAACCACTCTTAGATTTTCATCAATCACATGACGAAAAACTGAAAGTACCATTCAGTAAGACTCCCCATCTCGAGTGGAAAAAACAGAACAAATAGATATTTTGAAGAAATATTTGGGAATTTCATTATTTCCGACTTTAAAATCAAACTTACACATGGCTTTTTGAGCATACCGAAATCAAAAAAACAGAATGACGAGAATGTTTCATAGAAAGTACTTCATTACCACACCTATAAAAATAATTCATTTTAGTTAAAGACAATCTTCTAAAATGTACGTAGATTCTGAGATTAGACAAAACTTATAAACCATTTAATAACACACACCACACAATATTTGATATCGCACGAACATTATCGACAGCAGAAAGCGATAAAGTAAAAAGAAGAGAAAAATCAGAATCAATAATTTGAACGATAAAACTAGAATGAAGTAACGCGATTCTAGTACTATCCCAATTTGGAATAATGTTTATATATTCTCCAGAATCAATTTTCCATGGTAGTTCCTGCAAAAAAAAAAGAAACAAAATTATGACCATGAAAAAATATGAGAGGAAACATTCAAATTAATGAGAAAACCAACTAAAAGCTGTGGTGCTAAGCCTTGCATACTCGCATAAAATGCAGTACCAATAACAGAAAGAATAGTTACATTAACAAAGGTCAGAACATTCCAGGTAGAAAGAAGATTAGATTCTGAAATTTACGACATAATAAATTCTTTTTCTCACATTAATTTACAGAAAACTTTTTTTTCATATATAACTTTTTTAGCTTTTTTAGTTATAATTGAAATAACACTTCAAAATCAAGTGCCTTCAGTAGCAAAAATTAAACATTCAAGTAATGAGATTCTTATAAACACCAAAGCTTCTAGCTTTTGTATATTAAAAAATGCTGTCTTTCAAAATGATACTTGCAATGTCAGGAACGCGCCATGGTACGGCTTCCATAACTGAGTTGACAGCATAAATTCGATTATTTTCGGATAGTACTGCTATACCAGTATTACCTACTCCTCCATAGTATATGCGTGTTTCAACAACCGTTATTTCCTGAATATACATTTTAATCAACATGGCTGCGAAAAACCAAACACTAATAAGATGAAGAAACAAAGAACGTGAAAAAATTCGCTACCTCATCCATAACGAATTGATATTTAAGCTTGCCAAGAGGGGTATAAACATGAACACGTCCACGAACATTGACTATTACGAGCTAAATTCAAATGAAATGAACAGTAATTAATACAAATTTTAACCACTGAACTAAAGAAAGACGCAAGTTTTAGCCCTCGACACAAAATATCGATGACTACATTTTCCGGAAACACCGATAATGACCTTACTCTGTGACAACGAGTCCAATATATTGAATGAACATTGTGAGCTTTGAAAGTTGAAAGCAGCTTTCCTGCATTTGTTTTTATCGTTATAATCCAAAATGAAGTATTTGGAAATGCATATGCTGAAAACATTATATTTTTAAAAAATGAGTTTCTCTTTCTGCGAAAATTTTTCTTTTAGACATTCTTACAGAAAATACCTAAAAGAAAAAAAATTTGAATCTATTTATTCACGTTACATTCAACACTGTGCTTATTTTGCATCAAGATTGTCATTTATCTTAACAATAACTACTAAATCAGATATAAGGCTATTATCTTATCACGACCTTTATTGAGTAGTTTCTACTGAACGATAACATTGAAGGCGTAAAGTTGAAATTACTAAAGAGAAAGCTAGTTACAGCGATATATTAATGAATCAATAATTCTTTATCTTCTTTTCGTGAAATTTACGAGAATAATAAACAAAATTAAATTAAACAGACCTTCCTATAATATAATTTCATAAGACAACACATAGAAAATACCAAAATGATACCTATACAGCCTCCATAAGGAGACGATGCGAAAAGGCAATTATCATGAAAACCATAATCAGTATTCTCGAATAATGTATTACGTCTAAAAATCTGTGAGTATTAGCAATAATCTTAATCATCATATTTCTTATAATGTAGTTTTGATCCTTATACAATAATAATTTTATACTATGCTAGCTTAATCACTAGCTTGTTTCATGATATTGAGTAATCGTGATTACTGCATATAAACGATAAACAAGAACATACCTTATTTTTATAGGATCAAGATATATCCAGTCTCTCGTTTCCGACTTCATAGAAGAGAAGAACCAAAAAACACAGACTAACAAATATGTTCTTCATAATGATAACACATGATTAAATTCTCTCGAAAACTTTGAAATCTGGCAATAAATTTTGACAAAACACTAATCGTAAAGATCCATCCATTCCAACACTGATGGCAATTTTTTCAAACTGGACTACTAGCATATGATATGATATGATATGATATGATATGCTAGTAGTTAAGGAGATATAATTTGAGCAGAATAGCAGATGTGAATGAGTGGGGAGCTTCAATCTCAGACGAGAGAGAATTCAAGTTAGCTCATCTCGAGATTCAATTTCTTTACTCATAAAACAAATAAAAACACGATAACAATTAAAAAGCGAAACAATAATGCTAAAAATGTCACCCATTCGAATACTTGCCAATAATGGATGTTATACTTCTCGCCAACTCCTCTCTCTATTTCAATACATTTGTCGAACTCTTGCAGCATTCGTCTCTTTCTTTTCTGTCTCTTCTCTAAATACACTTCATCGACAAATAGTTTAAAAATTGAATTAGTTCTGCTGACATTATGAACGATAACGAAGATAGTAGTTTAAGGGCTACTTGCCAGCTTTCACAAACTATTACTTCATCCTTCACTTCTTAATAAACTGTTCCTCAAAGTATTTATTTGTGTGAAGTAAAAAACATTGTCTAATGTGGTAACATATTACGTAGAACTAAACAAATATATTTTCAGATATTTATACCTTTGCAACATTTCTTCATTTCATTCTTAATATTCATCTTCACATGACATTACGTTAAATTTTTTAGACTTTACTCGATGGCTGCGCTTTTTGCACTAACTGTCCAACTCTAGTCATGGTAACGTGTCAAGAAAGCAACTCACGTGATTGGAAACGCAAAATACCTGATACATCGATACAGTCTCCTGAAAACAGCAGTAAATATATTTATACAAATTCTGCATGTAATTTTTGCCCTGCAAAAGAAGTGAATATTTTCGGGATGTTACTCTCTTTTTTTCCCTTTACTCTCAGTCACTTCTTTTACATCCGCTTGTTACATATTTCATGCGTATTTCTCAGCATAATTTTATTGCAGCAGCTGCGCGTCCATTTCAGTGTGCTGATTGTTCTGCTGAAGATCCTTTATGGGCTTCTATCAATAAAGGTGTTCTCATTTGTTCCGAATGCTGTTACGTTCACCGTAATCTAGGTTAATTTAATTTAATCTGTTATTTCATTGTTTGATTTTTATATAATATCAATTAAAATAGTTTGTAAGTAATTTTAAAACAGAATTTTTTTTAAATAAAAATAGGACGATATTTTCGTAGACGGATGAGTTGTTTTGTTAACAAATCAGATAATGTACTTTATCAATCATTATACGGCTGAATGCCGTTTATAAACAGGTTTTTGCTACTTCAGTTATTTATCACCTTCATTTTTACTGCTTTGTAATGATCACTTTTGCAGTTTTGAATTATTCAGCTCATGTATTTTTGTTGTCATTTTCAGTATCATTGAGATAGTTCGATATTTGCAATCTAGATTTGAAAAATGCATGTATTTTATGTTTCTTCTATCCATTTATATAGGGATTTTTTTTTTAAATATATGTGAGCTGCATTCATTTGACATAGCCTTCACATATTTCTACCATAATAGGTCGTCATATCAGTCATGTTCGCTCAATCAAGAAGGGAGCTTGGAATAGTAGTCAGCTTGAATTGATGTATGTTTTATATTCCAATGGCTCGAATAATATCTGGGAACATTCACTTCTCGACCCTCAATCCACCAACAAAATTCGTCGAAAACCGTCGCCATAGTCAGTTTTTTATCATTATTCTAAAATTATATTTTTGGTTAATTTTATGCCAGGCAGTTATTTTTAATCCATAAATTTGTATTTAATATTAAATTGGGGAAGTTACGATGATTAGAATACATTAAGAAAACTTTTTTTGTTTTTTTAACAAATTGCTTTTAAATTTATTTATGAAGAAATAGTATTTTTTTTGCGCGTGCTTCCCAGAGTATTATTGAACAATAAAATAATTTTTGACTTGATTTATGATTCCTTTCCTCAATTTGTCGTAACTGTTTTTAGTGACCCAGTCCTTCCCATTAAAGAAAATTTCATCAAGGCAAAATATGCGCAAATGGCTTTTGCTTTACGTCCAGCTAAAGATGATAATTGTATCAGCCAAGATGATCTAAACCGTCAGCTCTGGTCTTGTGTTCGAACTTCTCATGTAGAGACAACTTTGAGGTAATTGTTTGCTGTCAGTCGAATTGGATAAGGTTATTGCTATTTGAAATACTTCTTTTGTATTTTTTCATGACCTCGCTTTTCTAAAATTCATATTTCGTTCTGCTTTCAGTTCGGTAGACCCAAACAAATTCACTTTGCATTTCAGACTATTAGCTCTCGGTGCCGATCCTAATTATACTGACCCAGAAAAGAACAATTCACCTCTTCATATTGCAGCCAAAGAAAATCAAGCTTTACAAGTTAGTTGTTGGATTTTTTTAAAATGTAGTCTTAATCACTTTTGTTTTATTTTGCTGCAAATTATTTTATTTTTAAAAGCAAGATTTTTTACAAACATGAGTTTAATTTCAAGCTATAATTTGATCAGTTTGATTTTAATTTATTCAGGTTGAATTACTTTGGATATATGGAGCCGATGCAGGTCAATTGAATGCTATAGATTTAACTCCTTCTCAGGTAGCAAAACTTGAAAATCATGTAAGTAACGTATTAGTTTAATAGATTATCACCGCTCATAATTTACTCATAATACTTGTTTAATGTATGGTTTTCATCGGAGAATTCTATCTATCTTGCTTTTTAAGTTTTTACTATGAAATTATTTGTTCAATTTCTAAAGATTGTGATGCATTTGTATTTTCTTGCATTCAATATTGAGGGTGTAATTTTTAGACAGAACTTGCTGCAAGGCTGGAGGAGCTGCAGTTTGAAGTTACGAATCGTTTGACAATGTTTTTGTGTGGAAGGCGACCGGATCATTCCAAACAACAATATTTTTTAATTCCCGAACTCATAGGACAGGGCATAGAAAATTTGCAGATTAAATCATCAAAACGACACTTGCGTTCTCTCCTTTCTCATTATTTCGAACGTATTGTTCAAGATGTATATGATGAGGTATTGTTCCTTATTATTATTGTATTTTTTTCAGTGTCTTGTAAACTATTATGAAATTGTTAGGTTGATCGTCGAGAAACAGTTGCCGCGTGGAATGCTACGGTTCAAAAAACACATTCTTTCTGTTTGGGAAATGATCAATGCGTTGCTGTTTTTTTGCCGGTATCTGTTTTTTTACAGTTCCGCTGTATCAAAAAGTTTTCTTATAATCCTGCACAAAAAAGTATAGATTTTTTGAAATTAGGATAGTTTTAACCCATTGATGGGTTTAGATGTACTCATCTTTACTTTTGGATGATTGCAGCCTAATCCAGAATTATCAGCTACACGTAATCAGCTTCGTCAGAAGCTTGCAAAGTGTGATATGCGAGGATTAGCAACTCTGATCATAGATATTCTTAATGAAGCTAAGCGAAGGTGATAATAATAGAGCAGATTTTTTTCTGTCATTCAGACATCATTTTATATTCTCATGAATTGTGGAATTGTGCAGAAAATATTGTTGATTCGTTTGCATAAGTTCAGGTATTATGGTTTGCCATTGAAAAATGATATAGATGACTCAGAAAATCTTCCAAAGAAACCTTCAAATAGCGGGGATCATTTTATTGCAGGATCTATTGGCACTTCCGAGTCCGTTTTTTTTTTTTTTTCAATTTCTTGTAAACTGGACATGGTTCCTATATTCTTGTCATTATCTATTCTAATTAATCATTCACTGTTAAATTGTCTGTTAAATATAGAATACTTTAAACTTTAACCATTGTGTATTACAGATATATTACATCAATGAGTGAGGAAGGATATAGAGATTATGACGAAGTTGCTGACAGCTTACAAAATGGAAAGTGGCGCACTTCAAGTAGTACTAGGTGATTTTAGACAATTTTTGTTATAAAAAATTGGTATCTTGTATGATTTTTGAATATTTTCTTGGAACTTTTTTCATGCATTGGAATGTTTTAAATCAATGAGCTCTGTGCAAAATAACATTTAGAAAGTCATCAGAAAGAAAAAGTGATGATAGCGGTGAATTTTTACTAGAAACAGGTCCTGTAATGAATGATGATTTTATGGAAGTGAAGGAAAAAGTGGCTAATACAGAAAGTGCTCTCACTGCTGTTCAACAAACAAACACACAAATTTTAAGGTTGTTAAAGCTTTTATCTTTGCAAAAATTAAACAATCAACGAAACCATATGATAGCATAAGTGTCATATCCTCCGTTACAATACTGAAAAAGAGTAATAAAAAATAATCTCTCGTTCAAAGGAATTTATATTTTTGAGTAGATAAAAACTGCACTCATATTACACTTATAAGTTCACTAATAATTATACTCTTTCAGTTTTGATTTTAGGACGCTAACCCATCTACAGTCTAGTGTTGATCGTCTGAATGCAGATAATGCATACGTGCATAGTGAACTTGAAAAGGTGCAGTCTGCATGTTTACAGGTAGAGTTTTATGAATACTTGATCACTTAATTTTTTTTTATTTCAATGTAATGTCATTATTGTATGTCATGTTTTCAAGTAAAAAGATCTTCCATTTATTTCTTTCTCTCTATTTTCATTTTTAGGTTGGTTTTCTTTCAGTTTTGTACCTGACTGTTGTCACATGTTGCTTGTATTTCAGGCTTTAAATAAATGGCGCTCATCTCCAGCTTCAGTGACATCTCCTGGAACTTCACTTTCAAGTAATGTTCTTAGCAGCAAAAACATCTCATCAAGCTATCATGCATCATCTGGGAAATCGGCCAGTGGTATATGTGTTAGATAAATAATACTTTATTCATGTGAAAATTATTGACTGAAGTTTAATGATTTTATGATATACATTATGATTACATTTCAGTGATTTATGTTTTTCTTGCTTCAAGAAAAAAAAGCATGAATTGTGAAGTCATAGAATTTTAAGCTTCATGTTTTCGGTCGTACTGGTCGTTGGCATAATTCTGGCTCTACGACATCTGCTTCTACTATTAGAACATTGCCACAGCAGCGTCCGATTTCACATAGATCAGCTACAGCACAGTGGACTGATCACAATAGTGGAAATGAGGATCTCGATGGAACTTTTGATACTCCACGACATGAAATAATTGAAGGTGGAGGTACTGTTGATCAAAGAATGGATGACGAAAAATTACAGCGTGGTTTATGTCGAACCAATGATGGTAAAGTATATATTTGCAGTAAACTTTCCTAAATTTTGAGAAATATCAAGCTTTAAAAGTAGTAGAATTGATTAACATTAATTGCTTGTTTTTTTTTGACTTTTACAAGTAATAAGAACTATCACATATCGTCTCCATGTTTTTCTCTTTAAAGTCATATTCACTCATGTTTTCTAGCATTTACCGATAATTTGATAGCAGAAACAGAACGGCTCACCTACGCTATAAAGCTTCTTTTAACAGATGCACAATACGGACAGTTACAAGCACGTGCACCTGACCATGCATATTCTGTTAGTTTTGTTTTTATTTATTTTAGGATTAATAATTTGATTAACTTATAAGACTAAAGATGAATTAACTTTTCCATCACTGCAGGTATTGACAAGTATGAACATTAGCAGCTAGTTTTCCTCCCACTAAAAAGAAGTCGTTTTTCAATTTATTCCTTTCATGTACTGTAATATATTCCTTTCTTATTTATGTTTCACTGTTTTATTTATTATTCATTTATTTTTTTTAGGTTGGTATGTTGATAAATCGCATTTTAACAGTCGTTCCGGAAGAACGACGTACTTCTGCAGTTGAGGCATGCTTGCAAAAGATGTCTGATTCAACTGTTATCTTGTCTGCTAAATGTAATGCACCAATGTTTAGTGTAAATGATACATGTGCAGCGGCATTTGCTGTTGCAAGTTCTGCTAAACAATTATTGGTGAGCGTGCATGAGCTCTGATTTAGTATTAGATATTTTAACCTATACTGTCTAATAATTTGTAAAAATAAATTGATTCAATTATAATCTGGTGCAAATTTCATCGATAGTCATTTGGGTTGAATAGAATGCGATGTTAAGTATATTCAAGATCGTTAGGACATTATAATCAAACTTCTGTTCAAATTTCTTTCTGATAGGAAAGAAAAGTAGTCAACAGATGCAAAAAATTCAGATAAGTCAAGATTAGTGACTACAGAAGATCGAAACAAATTACTTGCTCTAGTGGAGCAGTAAATATCCTGACAGATGAAAGATTTAGTTGAGGATCTTCATTTACTTTACTGTGAAGTTCCGGTGGTTTGTTTAGGATGCTTCAAGTAAGACGAATCGATCCCCAGTTCATAGTATGCATAATATATTTCAGATCAATCTTCTGAATTCCAAGGTGATTACAGTTGTTAGGGATTTATCAACATATTCAATTCAGAGCAATATACTATTAGAAGTCAGGAATCTATGCTTTATTCACATCTATGCCATATTCAGAAATGGTATAACGCTTTTCGGTACTATAGTAAGATAACAGTACAAAACATCTACAGATAATTTGAAAGCAAGAACCAACGGTATAACAAAGAAATAGGTAATCCTTAGAATTGTGGTGTAAAATCTTTTGTGGTCGTAAAATCGGAATTACGCTCCATTGCATCACTAGGGAGTAGTCGCGAAATTGAGTGTAGAGGTATTGTTCTCTTAACAGTGCACATTTTGCAAATTTACTCAATATGAAATTAATGAGTGCACATTTAGTTAAGTGCTGGATTCAACTAATAATTTATTTCAATCTTAGGAAGCATGGAATTCGAAATTGAATTTAAAATTGGGCGGCAAAATGATGTTCGTTAAATATGAGATAATTGTGATTTTACCGAAGTGCTTAGATATGATGGAACATATTCCCTTGTACTGTGTCTAAAGAATAAAGAGAACAATCACTAGTTGAAGAAGGTAGAAAAAAATAAAAAGTACTGTATCATGTTGATACAAGTTACACGCATGATTGTCACTGTAATTAGTTAAGCCGATGTGATCATGAAAAAGATAACGGAGAAAAGAAAAAGCAGCTCCGAGAAAGAGAAAAATATGGTTCGAAAATGCTTCAGAACAGTTTCCATTAGACTCTTTTTCGTGAAGAATTCCGTTTCATTATACCTTACCTTCTAACTTCCAACCTGAAAAATGTATCACATCACTGATTTGATCAACATGTAAAAACTGTAAGGACATTGGTTAAAATGAATATGTTTATGTTTTTACGCCAAAAACAAGCATAAATGTTATTACTACTACGAATCACTTCACCTTATTGTTCATAGTCCATTTTTGATGAATAGTCATTGCTTGAACCTCCGGTGTCTTCATTTGGCCAAATTACGGGTGTATTGCTCTCTTGCTCCATTTCCATCTCAAAGTCATCATCTTCTAGACCTAATTTTGAACCCTGAGCTTCAGTCCTATAACTACTAACGACAAAGCGTCTTCTCGCTGGATATTCAAGAGCAGAAAGTATTGCAGCTAATCTCGCTTCTTCTTCCTTACTTTTTTTACGACTCATTTTATCAGTGTTAATTTCAACCGCTAATGACTCTGAGCTATTTCCCTCTTTGTGATTGTGATCTGCCCATCTTTTAACTTCGCTCTTAGCTCTATCTCTGGTGACTGTGATGGGATCAGATGCAGATACAGGACTGTCTTCTTCCTTTATAGTTGATAGATTTCTATGCATCATCACTTTACTTCTTGATATATCGACTTTGTCCATTTTATTAGTGGATTCAGTTTTCACTGTCTTCACATCGTCTTTTTCATCACAATTAAGGGACAGTTTTTCAATGCCAGATATGATGCTTTCCAAAATATCCTCGTAATCGTCATTCTTCAAGTAATCATTTTTACTCTCTGCTTTATTTTTGCTTCTCCACGCCAGTAAACGGTCATTGTTTCCTTGCTTGTTATGGTCATTCACTCTAAGCCGTTTATTTTTTCCTGAAAAAGAACGAACATTATTCTGGTCTTTTCCTTTTAACAAGTGATTATTCGCTATCAAACTTTCCCTATTAGATAGTCTCTCTTCAAGCAAATAAGATAAATTTTTCTCATATATACACTTATTATGTAAAAATTCAATGCCAAGCAAAGCTTCCTGATTTGTTTTCTCATGCAAAATTTCGAATCCAGAGTAGTCATCTCCAACTATACCTGTTTTGTCCCTGTTTGTGTCGTGATGTTCGCATGATTCGTTACTATGATTCCGTGACAAGTATTCAGTCTCCTTTTCATCAGTCTGCATCGATTCATCATCGAAAGGCATACGGTCGATTTCAAATGAATCATTCGCGCAAGAACTTTCATAGTGCAGAAGTGAGTCGTTTTTTTTGCTAGAACCACTTATTTGTAACATTTTCTCGTTGGAGAAGTGTTTAAATTTGAAGCAATTTTTTTCATTACGTAAGTCTCCTTTGCTCAAATTGCCACTTTGGCCTGAATTACAGTTCTCATTCAAGTGAGGCTTCTTGTGCAAGTAATCAGAGTAAGAAGGAATATCTTGATATTGAGTCCGATTCTTGCGTTTGCAAGCTTGACTTGAAGAACTGTCTGTTTCATCTTTCATATGTGAGAAGTCAATTTCAAATGGGTCATCCTGATACTTTTTTTTTGCATTACCGGACTTGTTGGTATTATCGGCATCTCTCCAGTTGGTTGCATCTTTCCTAAATAAGTCATTTTGTCTGGGCCATCCACTCTCTTGATCTGCACTCACATAATCGCGATACCGTAATTCATTTTTCTGACCTTGATTTTTTTGTCGGTGAAAGCCAATTTTTTCCTTTTTACGTACGTTCTTTTTGCTTGCATTTTCTCCATGAAGAATATTCGAATGCGGAAAATCTCTTTTTTCACAACTTCCTGAGCAACTTCCTTGATCTTTTTTAGTTGCATTTTTATCTTCGTAATGATCTATGTTTAAATAATCTCCTTCCCACAGATGTCCCACCAGAATGTCTTCTTCTTGTGACCCACTATTGTACACATACTGTTTTCTATATAAATTGCTTATTTTACTTACGTCACTTTTTCTATGTCCGTCATCATCGCTACGTTGATTTTTTTTACAGTAAATGACTCCTGCGCTCTCTTCTTTGTGCAGATGATCTAACTCGCGATCATTTCCAATTAGTCTTCTAGGTTTTGGCATGTTTTGTGTTTTATAAAAGTCCCTTTCGTGGAAGTCGTCTCTGAGATAACGATCAGTCTTGGACGAATCATACTTTCTGAACTGATTTTCTCTTTTGAATGAATTCTTAGATAGATTCCCTTCTTCAAAGAAATTGCCTTTCTTATGCTTTTCGTTTCTAAATCCATTTCCTCTCCCATACAAGTTCCTTTTTTGTTTGTCATCATTTTTGAAACAAATCCTGGTATGCATACTGACGTTGTTTGCATCGTTCTTCATTTCCGGGTAATTTCTTCTTTCTGCTTCATCATTCATAGCCATATCATATTTTTTCCGCTTTGGTGCACTGTTATTTCTTTCCGCAATTTCTTCAGTCTGCAAAGTCTTCTTCTGTAGCATACATAGAGCCTATGTTCAAGTAAAAATATTCAAATAAATGTTGTTTGCCATAAATTCTCATCAAAAGATTCAGGTCTGAAAAGATTGCTACTTTCTAAGATACAGTTTAGTTATGAGATAACCAAATGACGATTAACAAAAATACATTACACACTAGTGAATTTATATGCATTCTCTCATAAATTTTAATATAGTTATACTATTTCACCTTTTCATGCGCAAGCTAATTTCGGTATGCAACTTGTAGGTCATTACTAAATAAGAAACTATTTTGACCAGAGTGACAACATACGTTTGATGAAGCTTGCATCTTTCAAAGAATATAATTCTATACCGTAAGTAGAAAAAATTCACTGTTTCTTTTTTTAACAATTGACAAACTTATTATTTATTTTTAGTAATAGATTGTACTCGATTGCAAATGCATATTCAGCACTGCAATAAACAAACCCTAGTTGTAAATATGCTCAAATAACTTCAGATTTAAATCTTATTGTTTAAAACAATTTCAATTTCTAGAAATTGTAACTTTTAACAAATCGAATGAATTCAGCTACAGTAATACGTATTACGGATTATCTTAAGAAACATAAAAAGACGTTGATTAATTAAATGTAGTTTGGAGCATTCTTAATTTTGACTAATCTCATGTTGATTAACTTATGAACCTTTTATTTTAATACAAATTGAAGCTGGAAACATTACTACTTTTATTATTGATGATTTTTTAATCTCTGGAAACTGCTCAATGTTTATTGTCCATTCTATTAACAGAAATTATTCCAAGTAGTGTAGAATTACCTCATGCAATGTGCGAGAATTTCGTCGATAAGAAGGCACAAAGTAAGTATTAGAATCAGGGAAGTTACGGTCTGCTGTCCTATATCTCCTCTGTTCTTCGGAAAGTACACGACTGCCTTGAGCGTTTGGTCGAATGTAAGATCTACTGCAGTAATTATCAAATCTTAATATGCAGTGTACGATTAGCGACTGCAAAAGTCCTAAATTTTATAAAAGAGTTGTAACCATATCTGAATGCCACTTGCCTGCCATGAAAGTCATTCTGTTGTGCTCGATGTCGCATTTCATAGGTTCCACGATTATCACCCTGATTCGTTTGAAAAGGATGAAGTTCAAGATGCATAGCTTCATTTGGCTCAAGTATTGAAGGGACGAAAGCTGCTTTTGTTAATTGATAGCGGTTTATCTTGCTAGCGATGATCATCCATTCCGCTGAAATAATCATTTGTTGTCAGTGAACAATGCTGCAGATGTGAATAATTTATATTGCTTACAATCAAGGGTGATATCAGATAGATTTTTCAACCAGATGCGTTGGTCATTTAACGTCAATTGTTGCAGGCCGCAACGAGTCCATTCAGGATCATCTGTTGTGCACTTCAACGTATCCTAAATTTGTAAAATAATGGTATAATTCAATCAATAATTATTCCATATAAGCAGAAAATATAAATTGTATGATTTTGTGATTTCTAATGGACAAATTTGAAAATAAATTTTTACTACCGTCAAACTAGGTCCTTTTCGTCCAAGAGGTCCGTCAATAGGAAACATTAGATCTTTTCCATTGAAGGATGGCATAAGCAATCTGTAATGACTTTCTGCTGTGAAATTTTGAAAATGCTGATCAAAATCATTGATGATGTATCACTTATTAGAGATTTTTTCTTTTTTATTATATAACAAAGTCGATGTTGTACGACTAAGTATGTATAATGGATGTAAAGTTAAAACGATTAAGAATCTTTGACTATTAAATGGCTCAACATGTATGTGTAAAACTGAATACTTCATTTCGACAGTTTTATCGAGAAGCGGATCTCGTTCTACAATTTGATGCATCTGTGATCGAGCGACCATACATCCGCCGTGCTCTCGAGTACGTCTCGCCATAATCCGATTAACTTCCATGTACTTATCGTTACCGAAGCCTTAATTTTCATTTACTTATTGATGCTTTGTTTTATTATCTTTTCTGTTATAAAAAGCTGATAATTTGTGTCAATAGTGTGTTATGGTATTATTTGTTTTATGTGTTTCTGGTTGCTTTGTGTGTTTGTGTATTTTGTTGTTAATTATGCATAATGTAACAAATTTGTCACCTGGTGTGAATTCGATCAAATTCATGCGATAAAGTGCCATTAATTCGTCCCACCGGTCAGATTTATCTGGAAAATTCTTGAAACATAATGGTAAAAGAGCTTGTGCCTGATGACCACGTGATATGAAATACCACAAACTGATTGTTATGCCACGTACTGCCAATTTCTTTTTAATGCCATCACAGGTTGCATATCTAAAACAACTTTTAAGTTCGTCACTGAAACGTTGCTCTGAGAAACAAATATTGTGAAATATCTACTAACAAAATATATTATGAAAGTTATTAGCGACTCAAAGTTGCTGATTGTTCTTAAGAATAGGATGAGTTCTGTAATTTATAAGCTACTTACAGATGGAAATAAAAAAGCTCGATTGAGCCAAATGATATTTAAAGTTTCAGAAACACTATTCACTGAAGTATTTGCTCATGCAGAAGGTGTGTTGACTTACGCGAAACCGACTTCAACGCCATTTATGAAGATAGGGCGTAAAAGGTAATCTGGATTTCGTTCTTTAACACCATCTGCTGATCTGTCACAAATTACTGATAGCGGTGACCGCCTTATCTATAAATGCTTATTTATATCTATTTATTTAGAAACATGAAACTTTTATCACAATTATAAAGCTTTTCTTTTGATATCGATCATTGGCTGTATGCAAAATTTTGCTGTGAAAACTCACTGGACATTTGTAATGAATACAATACACATGTTATTGTGGTTCCATTGTTTTGTCTGTCAAGACTAGGTTTTGCACTTATGAAATCATTTGAACAAAAGTCAGTTATTGAAAAGTTGACTGTTAGCTACGTTTACAAGAACTCAACAACAAGAATGTTGTGATACCATCTCATTGCTTAAAGAAAGTAAAGAACAAAATAATTAAGGCACATGAATATTAAAAAGTAATTTTGGGTTTGGATTTGATCTGCTTATGTTTAATTGCATCACACAGATCAAGATGCACTAACAAAGTTCTTTGAAATTTGAAGGAACTTTCGCATCCATAATGACACTATAATAATGCAATTACGAAATCTTACTGCTTTTTTTTAACAATGGTATACTAACTTATTCATGAACTTTGTTTATTCTTGCTTAGAATTTTATTAAAAACTGAAATATGCCAAGAATCTTAGTAGCGAGGAAAGGAAACAAGTATAGGAACCTTTGAGATACGTTCCTCAGTTTCAGAATCACGCATGTTGAGTAGAATCCTGCATCACAACTTAGAGAACATTCCCATAATTTGCAAGACGCAACCAAACTCAACCACTGCTGATGGAGCAAATGAATGCACTTGAGGAACAGTTTCAAATTTATGTCAGTCGTACTATGCACTCCAAATTTTTCACTTGCACTTGTAATTTTTGAATATCGATTGAATTTTTCTCTATTGTCTCTTTTCTACCTCAGAGTAAAACTACTTTTTTGCTTTCCTTAATCTTTTTCTATGGAAACTCTAGTCATACAGCCTGACAGACAGTACATGATAAGAAATTCGCTTGGCAAAATCATCACTAAAGATTATATATGTTAATTGATGCAACAAATTGTGTAAGGAAAAAAAGTACAACAATCACAGTTGCAGCACCGTGACCTACTTTTACATGTCTAGCCAAGTCTTGGCAGTAAACATTCACAATTTGTAAAATGTTACAGTTGTCTAGAAAAATCTTACACTACAGTATACACTATTAAACAGAAATTGAGTATATTGTTAACGAGAAAATAAATTAAATAAAGGTCGCTCTGATAAGCTTCACTACGTCCTCAATTTTGGTTTCAGCATGCATTCTGAAAATTCTGAAAAGTTTTATGATTTATTCACAAAGTGGTCTTTCGAAGAATGTTACTGAATTACATACTAATAATTTGTTGGAACTTACAACATATTTAAATAAGGTGACGTAACATTATATATATATATATCATTTCACTATTTTTGAAAGTTTTTTTGTTATATTCTGACAGATGTAAGTAACTTTAATCGAAGAGTTTATATTTGCGTGATAGTTATGAAATACTACTTAATTTTATAAAGATTCACATCATATCTGCAAATGCAACTATTAGGATTTCATCGATTCATAATATCAGCTTCAACAATTATGCTGTTATATAGAGTTGACTGTGAACATTACTGGTTAAAATTTTATGACAGATCAATCTGGTTGCTTTTGATTTCTGGCATTCAACAATAAACGAGCATGAATTTCAACCAGACTGTGAATAGAACTCCAAACTTAATGATGTTTTCCTACTTCTTTCCAAAAATTTTACATTACGGTACCCACCCAACCATTCTAGACTACAATAAGAAAAATTGATTCTGCATTAAAAAAATCGTAATAAAGAATTATTACTATTATATTTTCATACTAGTTTTAAAATCAAGCATTTATAGAATTCTATATTGTTAATTGATTGTGCAAGTTAAATCTTCAATCACTTCTGCAAAGTTCAAATCTGTTTAATATGAAATACTCAGTAAGTCAGTAACGATAAAACCAGTTTCTTTTCATGAATTTTTGAGTATTTTCTTACTCTTACTGCGATTAGATTATCAGTTAGCATGAGTCTGATCAGTTTGGCATCGATGAATGTAATTATTCAGTGCCCAGTTTTGATAAAAAAAATGAAGCACAAATAAACATAAATTTTAGGGGTATTAATCCGTAGGAAATGGTAAGTATAGTTTAACAATTATTCTTTTTTTTTGTTTTTTTTTTTTGAAAAATTTTAACAATTATCTAGCAACAGTAGCTGAAAATTATACCTTTCAGATACTAATGAATCAAAAATTACTGCTGAAGTTGTTGTGACTGAGATCAGAACGGGATCAGAATTAGTTTTTATACTGCTCCCCTTCTGATCTCAGTTACAGTGGCTTGTTTCATAGAAAATAAAATAAGCGCATAAGATTAATATGCTTGTATTAGTTTGCATTTTTTGCCATACATATGTTTGTACCCATCTTTTAAGTCCCTTTTTATTGAGCTTAACACTTTCACCTAATCAAGTAATATTCTATACTTGAATACTTTTCATCCAGCTTGCACGCTGACAGATCCCAATCTTTATCTTTTTTCTAAGTCAATTCATTTTCTGCTATTTATAAATTGCGTAATTAGATTTTATGTGGTTGATACAAATACCAAATTCACTTTCTTGTTGCTTGAAACAAAAAAAATAATCAACACTAACACATTTACTCAATACATTATAGTATTTTCATTTTTTGCCGTCCTTAAGTATCCATAAATTTCAAAAACTTTTATATGCAATAAATGATCAGTGTAATCGCAGTGCAGTAACTAAGCAGAGTTCGCACGAAAAGGAATCAGTGAATATTCTCTAAGGTTGTGACCTCCAGGATCATTCGCTGCTGCTGCTGCTATTAAGGAGGCTCGAAGTTGCCTATATCTATCCTTTCGTGTTCTACGAGTCGTCCTTTCTGTTTGATGTAACAGAACTCAGAATTAATGGTCTCTGACATTTTATTTTCAATCTGTTCTGATAATTTTCAAGCAGTAAAAAATTTTATTTCCAGTAGTAATTGGTAGTTATTGCTTACCTGATTTCCTGACTAGGCGAATACTGACATATAAATATTTAAAGTAAAATATCTCCGCAATGTATGAGCCAAGGTTTATCACACATAGTATCTAAAATTTTTCAATATTGTTAACTATTTGTTGACTACGCATTTTTTAATTTTTGTATAAATTTTATTGTCTGAAAAAAGTAAAAACAAAGCAGTAAATTTAATTAAGCTCATGTATGCGCAACAAAACTAAAAAACAGAATAATACTGACATATCAATTTGTGCCATATGAAGATATGAAGTTTGGCAAAAAGAAAAATAAATAAAAAATAATACAGAGACTACAATTTATTGAACTGGAAAAGATTTAAAATAGCTTAGTAAACGATAGCAGATTGAAATTTTAATGCAGAAAACTATGTGAGCGGGAAATTCCTTACTAAAAAATTACTGCTGGATTGATTAAACTCGAAATTCAATAAATAGCGTGCTCCCTTATAATATTGTAAATAATATTAATAATTTTACCAGGGCTAAATATAAATTCATCGGAATTTTAGCTTTGAAATCAAAACTTCTCCAAGAATGTTCCCATGTATAAAGCATATGTATTTTCGCTATACTAGCAGTAAACCATAGCACGATATGAGTAACTGATCGAATCAAATCTCTTCGCTGTAATTATATAATATTATAAAGTATTTTCAACATACATCTTCCTTATATTAATTATTGTTTATGAAAGGAAATTTTTAATTTGTGACCTAGGAAAATAAAGCATAAAATTGATTCTTACTTTGGATACGGGTAAAACGCGTTTGCTGACTGATATCATGGTGTAAACCAGGTATATAAGATCAAGCATCACAACTGCGACTGGTAACATGATCTTAGATAACGCTACGCAAGAAAACTGGTCGCGTGAGCTTTTTTGGAAAAAACATCCAAAATCTTTCAGCGCTATCTGAAAATACTTTTTTTGGATTTCTGAAAAAGATATTTTTTTTCAACAGAGCATTATGATGAGTTTCATACTTTTCTAAACTTCGTAATATGACTTTTTTTTTCATTCTTTCAATTTTTAGTCAAATTTTTAATCATATTTACAAAGTCAAGCGTTTAGATAAGGGTAATGATTGCGATTAGAAATTGCGATCACTAATAAGAAAAAACAGTACAGTGATCAAGTGAAATCCCACAGGAATGCAACTATCACTTTCAAGAATATTTGCAGATTCGTTTTCATTTTGTGCTCTACTGATCAGTTGTGTGCCTGAAAGAGATTCTTTTGTTTCTAAATTTAATTACAACTTTTTTTCTTTGATTATTTTGAACTGATAGAGACTGGTAAAATTATTTATGTTTGCAAAAGCTAATAGTAAAAATGAATGTGAAAGATGAAGTTTAATTTGTAAAAATAAATTCTGAGATATTATTGAAGACTTTTAAATCTCATTTATCGCTTTTACCATGAAGATACACTTGAAAAAGTGACTATGATCAAACTAAAGCAAACAAAATAGAAAAACTTATCGAATTTGCTTCTAATCGAAGTTTCGATCCCATCGACATCATCATGGAAACGTTGATTTGCTTTATTTATAAATGATTTATTCTCCAAATATTTTTGCTCCATGAATCGAAGACATGAGTTGTATGGATCAGACAAGACCTAAATGAATTTGAAGTTTCTTGCATACAACTGTGAGCTAAAGATTTTAGAGCTTTAGAATTATTTGAAAAATTAGTGCACTATTCAAGTAAATTTTTACTTTAAAGACTTAAATGAAAGTGCGAAAGAATCATTCAGAATTGAAAAATTATCTTTCTTCGCTTTTGGAGAAAAGAATTACGACAGTACACGATCGAAGGTAGTTTTTCCACAAAGTTGGTAAGTCCCGAGCATGAGAGCAATAATGAGATATGAAACCATCATTTGTGAAGTTTTGATGAAAAAAAATAGACGCATTCTGAATTTTTTCTTTCTAAAATTCAGCAAAATTTTTATTTAATTAATATTAAAATGATAAGAATAAAAGTGCATATTAACTTTTGGAAATACTTTAAAAGGAATAATACAAAAGCAACGAGTACAAATTCTTTGAGGTAGCACTAAATAAAAGTCATTGACAAAGTATTTCTATAAATTAACTTTCCAACCTGCAAGTGATAACTCTGAATCTGTAATGATAAGACAGCTGATAAATTTGTACGTTCAGTACATAAGCAAAATCAATATGGAAATTTTTTAGAAAACTTTTATAGTATGCAAATATTTTCCTGTCAATAGTTAACAGAAATCAATAATATAAAGGAAACAAAATGAATTTTAATCATGTAAATCACTCATAATACTATTCAGCTGTACAAATACATCTTCAAAACATGCATACAAAATCAAAAAAGCTAATATACAGTTTAAACTATTATTGTTTCAGCTGTTTTATGGCTTGGTTTCAAAGTCATAAATTACACGTCACTATAAAAGCACTTTATTTCAAACAGCATCGCCTACTTCGCAGCATCCTAATTTTTAAATTATTTTGTCTCATAAACTGATGAAAATTGTCTGAAGTCGTCGTTTCGTACAAAACTTTGAACATTTTTTTTGTTTTTTTGGCTACATTAATGTTTGTTTGAAACCAACAAAAGAGATATTTAGTATTTCTTCTTTGAACTAATTTAATTATTGTTTTGAGTGAGCAAAAAGATTGCGCATAAGTATGTGCTTAAATAGTCCTGCAATTATTTCTACGATTGCAAGCTGTAGACAAAAATTATAAGCAAAGCAAATTTGTTGAATAAAAACAAATCGCTAATTTCATTCTTGAAAAGCTAACACAAAATATTTATGAGATGAATTTGATAAATGCTCCACTTTTCTTTTCTTTAATAGCCTCAAAATTTCTTGCTTACCAAACATTCACGCTTAATTTCAGTGTTTTTACAATTTTTTAATGTATTAATTCTATTCAAATTCAAATTAATCATTTTTCATTTGAAGATGCATAATTTTTCATATTGGGCATTATTGGTTGTCACTTTGAGTTTGGCTACATCTTTTAAACCGGTGATTAGTTTACTAGCTATTCAGCAGCAAAAAGTTTACTACCTCTGTGGTATCTTCCCAAATATGTATTATTCACTGAATTGTAAGTTATAAAGATTTTTTAATTTTCTTTACGAATATTTAATAATAATTTTTTTTGAACGATTCAATGCATCCGTAATTTCTTTCAAATTTATATTTACTATTCATAAGTTATTTAATTTAATTAATGAAAACATCATTGTAATGTTACGATTTTCGCAATAAAAACGGTATACTGTGCGATTTTTAACTCTATTTTTAGTTTTGATTTAGGAATAAAAGTGTATAGGAAGGAAAAAAGCTGATGGTTTAGGTTTTTGTTTAACTGTTTTCTATTTATACTGTATTTTCAGAAATTATAAACAAGTTGTGCTTTTAGTTCTTAATTTTTCGGTGCTGAATACCTTTTTATTAAAAGCTTCAAAAGAAACTTGTATGCATTGAGAGAACTGAGAATACTGAAACGCTGTAGTAATTCTCAGAATTGAAAATTTTGTTATGAGCTTTAATGTCTACTAGACACTACTTATTAGTGGAGGATATACAGAAATCTTACGAGACCCAAACATAGATTTATCACATTTTCCAACTGTTTCTAGTAAAAAAAATGCCGAGAATTTTCCATTATATTAGTATATTTAGCATGCTATTACACGGAGCGCTACTGTCCTTATGGTAGTCATAAAACCAATCAGCGATGCACAAATGGGAGGCAATGTAATAAAATTTACAGTACGCATGCCGATTGCATTCAAGGTTATTGCTGTAGATACGGTATTGACGAACATGTTGATGCGCCACCAAATATGTCTGGTGGTTTGTTTTTTGTTTCATCTTGAGTTTATATTTTAAATGTTCCTTATTTTCTGGTAGAAAAAAAAACACTCATAATTTGAAAAAATAATTGTAAAATTGTTAATATTGAATGTTGCATCTCTCAATCTGAAACTTCTGCAAATGAACAATTAGTTATTCCTTCTATGCCTAAGAGATACATTGTTATGTTAGAATTACAACCTCATTTTCGGTCAATGTCCAAACGGACAAATATCGCAAGTACGATGCAGTGCTCAGGGTCAGTGTGATCAAGACCAAATCTGTCTAAATGGATTGTGCTGTACAAGAACGGAATTTGATTATCGATGTAGGGATACAACTTGGTAGTCTCGTAGCTTTAAACAAAGCATTGCAGTAGACAAAAATTATATGTGATGTGATTTTCTTAAGCATAGAAATATGCTTGTCATGTTTTATTATAATCCCTCACATTCATGGTGATAATGAATGAAATACTGATGCAGATCCATGTGGAGGAATTACAGCATTAGGGAATTGCACTAACAAGAATTGCACAGGTGGGCTTAGTTGTACTGCTTCTGGTTTCTGCTGCGAATGTCCTGTTGGTTTGAGTGGAGGAGAATGCAAAAAGGTAGATACCAGTTCCTCTTGCCTTTTGATCTATTTTCCAATAATACTACTATAATTATCATTCAATTAAAGAATGTTCTGTTAACTAGTATGCACTCTTTAAGATGACAAAATGTCAGTGAGAATCAGACTTTTTAGGGTAACTGCCCTAGTGGATTTAAATGCATGGAAAATGGATACTGCTGTACGACATGCCCAAATGACGCAACGCCATACGGTGCATGCCGCAACGGTGTCTGTGGCGGAAGTACAATGTGTTTTGCAGGAAATATTTGCTGTTAAGATGTAACAGGTACAAATATTTTCTTCCTGTATAGGGCTTGCGAATAATAAATTGTTCAATACTTCAAAAAAGGAAGCGTTTAACGTCAGAATAACTTAAAATATATATCAAAATGCAAAGCAAAACGTAAAAAATAAATATGGAAAAACAGTCATAATCATTGCCTTAAATGTAATTCCATTACAACAAAAAGTAACTGCAAGATAATAATTTATATAGATGCAACAGGAAACAATTAAAGCACTGATGGATTTGATGGCCAAATAACAGCAGCATCCACAAATTGAAAAAAAATCGCAACTTATTCCAGATCAATCTATCTATTTTCAATGGACATATTATAACAACAAAAATGTAATAAAGAAACTACAGTCTTCTGAAAAGAAAGTGAATCACCTGAAAATGAAATCAGTCTGAAATGCATTTAAAATTGAAAAGTGAGAAAAAGATACGATTCACTACAGTGGTAAGATAATTTTAAATCTATACTATGAGATGAGCACTGTGTGAATACTGCATAATACCCGCATGAAGAAATGTTACAAATCAGAAGACGTCTTCGCATCCATTATATGAAAGTAAGTCGTTATGAACAATAATAAGGTGAAGTTATTTTCGAAATTTGAAGTCTTTAAACAACAAATCTTTTTACACCACCATTATTTCATTCATTGTATCATACACTACACATAATTAAAATGAATCAGCAGTTGTACTAACCAGATAAATTTCTTTTTCTTTGCATATATTATATAGGTATATTATAGAAGTAAAAAGTAGAACATAAGTATGAGGCACAAGAATGGCCTTAGTGATATAGTTTCATTAAGTGAACTCACAGTGAGCATGAGCAATTTGCTACACACAGTGCTCTACGAGGTAGTTGAATTTTCATTCATAAAAATGCTTATTACTTCCATTGCAAAGCATCAAAAACCACAGAGAAATGACCAAGAATGAGCATGGTACTCAAAGCTCTATCAAACCACTATATGAATGGCTTATCTACACTTACACTACAATCCAAGCCATCAAACGATCTAGCAATTTCTTCAGTGAAATCAAACGTTTTTGTCAAAGGTTTTTATGATTTGCTATGTAATTCAGTATGATTACAGTTTGCAGACAAGTATTTAAAGTAACTAGTTCCACACTGTTATTATACTCTATCTTCTCGTGGTCGACCATGATAAATACGATGCCCAAAGCTTCCAATAGTCCCATTTCCACCATTACTGTAGTGCTCCCCAACACATTCCATAGTATTCACCATATCTTGAAATTTTTGTGGCAACTTCTGGTTGACCGCAAATTGATTCATATTTAATTCCTCTCGCAATGACTCTTTATATTGTTCTAAATACCTGAAAAATATGCCACTGCATTAAAATGAGCAACCTGAAATATCTTAACTTTACAGACCATAAGACTTCCAAAAATGCAAGAGCGAAAATTTCGTCACGAAGGTTAGTCGAAATTTTTGGCCAGAAATTAACTAAAGAGAAAAGGCCTCATAACTAAGAGAAAAATTATGGGAACGCTCCGAGAAAACTTGCTTGTAAAGTTCATTAAGCGCGCTGAAAATATGGAACCGATCGCGTGAATGTGAATGAGATTCTTCACTAAGCAGAGCATTCATATCTTGGTCAGTTATTGAAGGCATTTGCCTAATATCCGCATAATATCTGAAAAAAAAAATTTTCTTTAAAGAAAAGATAATAGAATTACATGACACGAAAAAGAAGAAAATTGACCGATCGACCCAATCACGATATTGATATATGTCTTTTGCAAATAGTAATTTGCTGCTAGGTGAATCTTTTGTCAGCTGATGATCTTGAGTAGAACAAGCATCCATAAGAGTCTGAGCCACAACTGATAGACAACCTTCAAGCTGAAAAAAAGTAGACAATACCGTTTTGTTACTTCAAAGGCTTTTAAGTATAAACTAATTTTTATTTCAAAAATAAATATGACCACAACAAATTATCTTAAAACAAAACTTCAATGTCAAGAATAAGATTCAAAGATGAAAAAGCACTTACATACCTTTGTTGGTTTTTGAATATCAAAGACAAAATGCGGGTTTTTTATCAAATTAACCCAAAATCTTAAAGGCAAAGAGTTGCTCTTCCACGCATGAACAACCTCATCGTCTTCAATGCCATGCTCCCTTGCCTAAACAGGCAATTTTCGATATTGAAAAAGATAAAATAAAATACTACCAGAGCAAAGAGGAATATATTGCCTACCTGATCATCCATGAAATCAAACATATATTTCACACACGGAATAGCAGAATTAGAAGAAGCAGTAGAAAAAATAATTTCCAACAGATTTTGGATAAATTTTTGCAGCGTACCCTTCATTGTGAGTAATCTAAAATACAATCTGTAATGCAAACTACACCAAATAAAATAAATTTCTTTTAAATTCTGCACAAAATATGAAACTTCTGTTGATTCCTGTTTTCTATTTTCAAATCCCTAAATAGAGAATACTAAAATGAAACATATGGTAGGTTATAAATACCTCGTCAAATAAATTTCCGTCACCATTTTATCTTGCTGATCGGACGGACCATGTTCTGATGGACGGACAAGATGATATAGCTTGTAATTAGAATCCATGTCTTCAAAAACCATATTAAGTATAACGAGCATCGTTACATAACTTTTAAGCAACAAACAAGGACCGTCAAACCATTAACTTGGTCAGTGTAAAAATTATGTCAAATATCACAAAAAAAAATAATTGGTTGAAACATCGTCCAAGCAAAAAAATAATTGGTTGAAACATCGTCCTGTACATTTAAAGAAATTTTCGCTTCTTTAAAATGAAGAGATCACTAACTTGACAGCAAACCTTTGCACTGCGAACTGGAATTCGTTCCGAATGGTCTTGTAAGTGTAGGACTTTGCTTAGGTAATGAAAATGTAGAACGTTCACTCAAAATTGAGAGGTTATAAAGCGAAGCTTGACGAGGAAGCAAAGCTAAAGTTGCGTTTTCCGGAACCTGTAGTATACATATAGTTGACCCAATAAAGAAACAAAAGCAAATCCAAAGAGACAGTCAACTTGTAATTACTATAGTTTGATGAATTGATATTATACACAGTTTTAGTGAGAATTAATGTTTAAAAAAATTTTAAACTATCTTTGATCAACTTTCACATCTAGTTAATTGCAACTAAGAGAAACAAGTGGTATCAAAAAAAAGTATCAAAACATACATTATAATGTGCTAATGTATTGATCTTTTTCCAACCACCTGGTTCAATTTTTGAGGTACTGTCAATATCTTGAAGAATTATTCTGGGACAAGCTGATCGCAATTCTAAATCAAGATCATTCACAGAAGGACGATCAGAGAACGCTGTTGTACGATATTTTGCATCCAGACACTTTTCCTTCACCTATAATACCATAAGCAAAAAAAATTGAAGTAACATTATTTCATTTGAAAATGAATTAATAGAGTAAACATCAAATTCCATTTCAGATCCAAAAGCTACAGTGACATTTCATAGATCCTAAACGTGGCACTGTAACAAAATCTGTCTGGTAACAATAAAAGAAAAACTAGAACTTCAAAAAGAAAAATCGATAGTATATTTTGATAATGAACAGATAATGAAGTCAGCATCTTAGTATCATCAAAATATGTTGCTAATCGGAACAAAAAAAATGTTCTGTTGACCCAGCCAAATAAAGTTTACTTGTGTTATTGCATCACAATCGAGCACTCTAACGGGATAATCTATCGCGCCAGAAGAATGATGATCTGCGGCAATAAAAACAGTAAGTTTCCGAAAATCAAATGATGCTCGCAAAAGTTTTTCTTCGGACAATGAATATCGAGCTTCAAAGGTTAAAGCATCCTGAGGTCCTTTTTCCATTTGTTGCTTCATTGCCCAGTATAATTCATACAACTTTCTACCAGCGCAATCCTGTATTAAAAACAATGAAAAAAAAGAACTCAGTCCCTCTTAAAAAATTTGCTTTTTTCAAGAGAATCAATCATTTTGGTGAAAAATAAGAAACACTAGACACACTCACCGTCAGATATCTGTACATCAAAATGGTGTACCATGCAGCTAACATTCGTTCTGCTACACTCTCTGAACGACGAAAAAGAATTTTAGGTTGTAACCTTTTTTCCATTGTTCTATCAATGAGCTCTTTTAGCAACTGCTTCAAGATTTCAGTGCAATATTCCATTTTTTCCTAAAAGAAAGAATTTCAAATCTTACCTAGCTTGAAATCATGGCAAATTTTTTTAGAAATTAAAATTACCATCAATACAACCATAAGTAAAGATCCAACAGCCACTCGATCTTTACCAAGAAAATATTTGTTATTCTCCATAGCACGCACAAACGAAAGTAAAAAGTGTTTATTCATTAACAGTTTGTTGAATGCTCGAAGACCCATCTCAATAGAATGCGCTCGCTGACTGTCAACTTCTAAGTCACGTAAAACTGGATGATTATGATAGTTATTCGGAAACAACACCTGAAAGAAGCAGAAAAAGTTATTTTGAGAAAATTTATTGCCTTTTTAAACAAAAAATCTCACCCTAGCTGTGTATTCCTTGTATGAGAGAAATGGTATAAAAGGTGTTCCAAGAGGTAAGTCAGCAGCCATTGCATTCATCGAAGTTTGCAATTCTGCAAATGCTTCCTTGCACTCAGTAGCTACTTTCATCTCAATCTGATCGATTTGATTTTTCAAATACTTCATTTCTCGCATATGGGAGGTACTTTTTCGTCTAAAACATTTCAAAATTTAAAGCGTATAAAATGCATACAACCTAAATTAATGGTTTTGATAACCATTAAATATTTTTATCTACATAAAAATCACCTATAAAATATTAACAGCAAAAAGAAAGCGCCAATAATGCATAAAGTTGGTATTAATATAGCTCCCATTAGCTGAGGCGATAATCCAGTCCCTTTCATGCTGTACGAAAGATGACCTACTAGGTAGCTGAAAATTATATTCCGGTTTTTAAAATTATTTTAATCAACAACATATCATGGTTATACAGAAACTGAAGAAAAAATGAGATGACAAAAAATACATACCTTACATCACCTATTTTCACTAGGACATCAGGGTCTGTATCATACGAAACTTTTTGCGTATTAGGTCTTTCAGATGGAGGTTGACAAGTGAGAGCTCGATTTGCCAAAGCCGTTAAATTGCAGGACTCACCTCCTACTGTTACAGTTATGTCTCGTTCTCTTGCAGCTGCGTCTAAATATTTACCATTGATAGTTAAATAATCGCCTAACCGATAAAACCTTACATCACTGAATTTTTCCACGATCGGATTTGGATAAACAGCTAAGTGACGAATCCGTAAGCCACTAAATTGTGAAATATCCCTGAAATGAAAAACTGATAACATGAATATGAATCGATTTTTGACTTGATCTTCATCGTTTACTAAAGTAAAGACAATAAATTAATATATGAATAAATATTGGTCAACAAATTAAATATTAATTAATAACAATAAATCAACATGTGGAAAAGTATTTCTTTTTAATCCAGTTATATACAGAACTTTCTGCGTTAGACCTGTAGAGTTAAACTAGTGTTGAACTGATCAAAATTACATTTCAGTAACTTCTTGAACTGCAGTAGAATGATAAATAAGAAGTGAATACGTCCTTGAATAGACAGAATTAAGCTGATTACAAACAGTGAACTACTAAGAATCTATGAAAAAAATGTAAGAACACCGATTTCATATCATAGTATTTCCTGTTTAATAGGACAACAAAAAGCTTCCATCCTAGCTCAAAAAAAACCAATGAAGACTTACTCAGTCCGAACTCCATCAAGTTCAAAACCATAATTTAACAGCAGAGGTTCATCAACCGTAGGATGCTTTTGCCTAAATAAATACCATACACTAAATTTTCAAAAAGAAATTACCATATTCACATTGGCAATATCAAGAAAAATACTTGATTATTATATATTGTGAAGTTTTTGTTACTGCAAGGATGCTATAGTTATTAAGTATTAAATCATGTTCTTCCGAATAAGTCAAAACAAACCTGTCATGAGGAATCTCTAAACTTGGTGTTTTACAAAACATCAAATCATCACGAGCAATGTCACACTGTGGCCCCCTCATAGTTCGTTTTTCATCTCTAACAATCATATAAGGTCTCTGCAATAATTTGAACCCAGTTCCAGTGACGTCAACTAATATCCCACCAGATTCGATGCTTCTTTCCGGTGTGACTTGTGCAAAGGTGGGATTTTCCCTAAAAATGTAACCTTAAAAAGAAGCAGAGAATGAAAACTGTAATTTCTGAAATTATACATGGGACGACTTCATTTGTAATGAAGCAGAATGCTCTAATCTTAAAAAAACACTCACTCATACTTAAATCGAATATTATTATACACTCGAGAAAAGCTATCAACGCTAATTTTAAGAATTCCATCAATGAGTGATTCGGAAGGACCCGTTCTACATTCAATTTTATCATTGCTACGATTCAGTACAATGCATTTCACATCATCGAATAAAACATTCACTGATGTTCCAGCATCGAGATTTTCGCCCCATATAATTACAACTGTCCCTCCAAATCCAGGTCCTACAATTAATGCTTTTTATACTTGCGATTTCACAACAACTGAGTGTGAGTAAATAAAAATTGCTTAAATGCATGCTAATAATTACTATTAAAAAACATAATAATTCTATATAGCACATTAAAAAAGCACTAACGATTTGTGACCATTATAAAATACAAAAGCTAATTAATTAAACATTCCAAAGACAGTCATAATTCTACATAATCGATTCAATTTAACACACTTTTGTGTCTTCGCAAGACATAACATTGTGCTATAACACAAAATTACATTAAAATGAATAAAATACACTAGGTACCTTTCGTGGGTTCTATGTTTTTTATCACAGGATCAACGTAAGTGAAACTATCATTAGAAATTGCTGTATATCTATGTTCTTCACGCAATTTCACAACAACTGGATAACGCGCTGGTATTGGAGTAGGACTTTGTCGAGTTCGACAAACAATGCGTGACGCAGTAACATAAGAACGTTCATCAACATCACAACGAACGTTCGCTGCTGTTACTGCTTCTTCAACAGTCTTGTAGCTGTGACCAAGGTTCACTCCATCAATTATCAACTGCAAAATTTATAAGGAATAATCAACTACTAATAGGTTATTAACATGTAAATCTATTTACAAAACATATTTGAAGGATCCACAATCTAGGCAATAAACACAATACTGCAGAAAGAAAAACTAACCATGGTACCACCAGCAAGAGGTCCTTTTTTAGGATTGAAATCTGTGATTACTGGATGTGGGCAAAGTTGAAATCTCAAAGAACAGCACAATAATTCTTACAACAGAGAGTACAGGAATATTGCTAGAATTTCTTGAAAATCAAAAATGAATCAATTTTAAAAGCTATAAACAGATGACTTCAGCTAGAGTGTTCTGAATACCTCAAAAAAAAAGTACCTGTCTAACCAGTAATCTGTTTTTGATGTAACTGGGCAATTTTCTGCTTTAGTGCACTGTCGTTCAGTTGGACACCAGCCGCAATCATAATTCTCCCCACTAAGTACTAAGCATAATCCACAATTTGTTGCAAGTAATTCACATTTATACATTATGATCTTAATATCTTGAGTATTATCCAAAGCGAATCCCCCATGACGTCCTTCCGTAGACCATATTACTGAAAAATTTGCAAAAGCAGTACCATTTCCAGATCCTGGTCCATAAAAATCAAACTTCATGTCATCACATCTGAAATGAATACTTTTGCAAAAAGAGAATGAAATTACACTGAAAACACAAAAGATAAAAGTGTTAAAAGATTCCACTCTATTTTTTCTACATTTTTATAAAAGGACTGCATGTCACAAAATAACGTATTACAGCAAAATAAGAACACTGACAGATTTCAATTCAGCACTATGTGACAAAAACCAGCACAAGCTTACATAATGATATTGCCTTTTTTCTTTGCCAATCTTTCGTGCACGCTGTGTTCTATTTTGAACTGGCATTTGAAATCTGTCATGAATCTTCTCGCATTTTCTATTATCACTGATACTTGACGATTTTTTCCCGAAGCAACAAAAAACTCGCTTTCAGTAGCAACAATACGAGGACAATGCGATCGTCCTTTTCTACTTGAAGGACCGCTTCTCTGCAATGTCCAGTACTTATAAATTTTCTGATATGATCAAAATGTAAAAAATAATTTACTAATTGCACAGGAACACCGAAATTTTTTTGAAATGTTGGAACTATTCTTATTGAAGAACCTTGATGCCATTAATCAGTTGCTGAGATCGACAACGATTTTCCGTTGTAGAACCAGCAACACACTGATTAGATTCTATGCACCAGTCACATGGAAATGGACTGCTGACACAAGCACTACACGATTTAAAACGCGAGCAATCATAGAACGTGAAATTTGTAAATGCTAGTGGTGGTCCTTCGATGCTATTAGAAATAGCGAGCCGAGCAACAAGACTATGTGCACCCGATGGGATATCTGGCAGAGCATTCGGCGTTGGACATCTGCAATTATCACTCGGGTAAAAATAGAGTACACTACATTTATTTGTAAAATGTATTGATCTTGACTAAAAACTAGCCTGACACGATTATCCAAACCACCGTTAGGTTGTGCAAGTGTGGAGACTGATCCAAAGACACCACCGAAATCGAAAATACAAGTCAACTGCCCACCTAAATTTGGCAAATTCTCAAGTTCGATGTTCAAATACGATGCACTGGTTCTCTGTACCTTGTCGGGCTCTACCTTGCTGATGCTAAAGCAGTGTGAATAAAAATAGTGAAAATTCTGTCACAAAGTTAATAAAACGGCAGATAAGATTAAGTTGACTATAAATTTGACTGTATTTATTACCAATCATACTAGAAACATACACAGGACATCGGCCAGTTCGATAGGTGAGCCAATCATGAGCAGTGGAAGGTATAGACTTCGTACACTCACTTTCTGGAACACATGCACCGTTTAAAACACACCAACCACAATATGGATCTTGTTGAGCCAAACAGCTACGGCAATCACCAGCCCCTCCACATTGACGAACCTTGATTTTTACTACCTAAATAATGAAGTTGAAAAGATTTTTTTAATCGGCTATTGTAACAATACTTTGGATTGGAATATAACTTAAGGAGTAATGTAACATGTTATTAACCTTCTTTGGCGTTAGAGCATAGATGTAATCACCAGTGGCATCTAATTCCAGATCTTGAAGTATGGGTTTGCCCTCACCAATATCGAGAGAACGATAAATGAAAGCAGAACTGCGATTCTCTATTACAGCCTAAATGATTTTTATTAAAATGAAAAATTATCCACAGATTTCTAACAATTATCTTGTAAAGCGCTATAATGGAATTAAATACGAACAGATGATGTGAATTCAGATACGAGTATCAAACACTGCGAGAGAATGATAAGCAACTTTTAAGAATTCGAAAATTCAAATTTCTGAATAGTAAAATAAAGAGCATTGAATACGCAATCGTTGAAAGATAAATAACAATTTACAGTCATCTATAAAGTTTACTTTAAGAAGTCGTCCATCGTGTGTCCCAATAAAAGCAACGGTATATGCACGTGTTGTATTTGTTGCAATAGAAGAAAACTGAGCATCATCAGCAACTAGAGCAGCATTTCCTTCAACTGGTATCTCACCCCCAATATGACTATTAACATCCTTTCCACACAACACCTCTTGACCCATGTACCCGGTCTTGGTGCAGCGATCAGTCGACTTAAACCATGGCAGATTCTAAAAATAAAAAAACATCAATTTCTTCAACATTCAATAACAGACAAACAACGAATGAGTGCTGAAAATCTGATGTTATGGTGTGAAGGTCACGCAATAAAAGTTCTTAGCCAACTTACCTTATTAGTTTCCCCCCGGAAGCACAGCTCAATATTATTCAAAAAAATCTTTTCCACCATCGCCATTGAATACACACAAATAGCACTTTGTGATGAAGGTACTGTTTCTTCAGCACTCCATCCTTTTACAAATACCCCGTACAGAACATCGTCTTCAACACTGTAAAGTATTTGATTAGGTGTTTTTAAGTTTTTTTAAATAAATTTTTATTACAAAAATTATATATCACTCATACATATGTATATATATATACAAAAAAAACTTTATTAAAAAAAACTATATATATATATTTATTTAAAACAAAAATACGATCACATCTAACCTTATACCCAAAGACAGCGCCAAATCATATCCTGGTTTTGATAAATATACATCCTGTACAAGATTGTAAAGCTCGTTTTCATACATGCATTCAAAAGGAACTTCTGTATAGCTCCAAAAATGAGCATCACTGGTACAAACTCTGACCATTTTAGAGATATATGGCCAAGATCCTTGCGTAGTATCGCCTTTTGGCTGCCTTGTAACAAAGTAAGCAAATTTACCACTTTGAAATCCTCCTACATATTCAATCCTGCAAAATATTCATTTCAAACTGATATAATAACATCAGCTACTAAAAATGGAAGAAAAATGCAACATACTTATATGGCCCTCGAAACTTCCGTTCCAACTTGATTTCTGTACCTGTGCCAACCCCTTGTGCAAAAATATCAAACAAACGGTTCTGATCAAGTGATAACGATGCTACTGCTGGAACATCGTCGCGAAAAGGGCCACCATTTTGTACATAGGTTGAAGCTACATAAAGTACATCATCTGAAATTATAATAACGTAAAAGATTTAAAAATTTCACAACAGGCAAAAATTCTTGAGTAATAAGTGGTACTAGAAAAGTTTCCAGTAATACTTTTATGAAGTCTTCCAAATTAAAAAAAAAATGACCACTTTGGAAGTTATCTTGATTAGTGAAAGTTCCAATAAATATCACAGTTGATGAATTTTGATCATTTGCAACAACATGCTGTTGGGATTCTTTGATTACATCTTTCTGATCAATATTATACAAATTACGCCACCGACATCGACCCTGAAATTTTGGATGAAACTCTTACTTTAAAATCGAACATAACTTATAAATCAAAAACAAAGGGAAAAAATTCTTCTTGAAAAGTATTTAAATAACCATGGATTGATCAGGAGAGATACCTGAAAAAGGCTTGTGCATTCGATCAACTTCGAGCTCTTCTCATAAACAGCCAAACCTTTTGTAAAAGAATTTTTGGTTTTTCTGCGTACATTTGATGATATACAAGAAGCTTTATCTAAAAACAAATGTCGTTAGTTAAGAGCTTCACTTGCTGAAGTCAAATACAATGAAACAATTTTTGAAACAAAGTGAGTAAATCTGAATAAAAATTGCAGATTTAATAAGAAAATAACTAAATGCGATCTTCACAAACCACAAATTACATAACATAAATAAATTAAATTTGTTTGTTATTAAATGCAAACTATTAAAAAAGTTCATAAAATGGTTTCACACTGCAAAAATCTTTCAATAATGAAAGAAATGTGTCAGTATATTCTGACTAAGCAAAGGTAAAGATGTGCTTCATATAAAATAGAAGACAAAAATAATATCAGTTATTACAAAACTATGCACATTTAAGTTTTTGCTAGCTTAAAAAATTAAATTTGATGACTTGTTAAGTCTGTAATTTTAATTAATGGCTAAGACCAAACTGGTGACCAGATAAAAGTATTATTAGAAATGACTTAAACATAATGACATACTTGGGCATTCAAAAGAGTCTTCTTCTGGGCCAGTGATCGTATGGACTTTAACACTAAGATCTGGATGATTTAAATCGTAAAGGTTGTTCACTCCGCCTACGTATAAGCGACCAGTAGATGGATCGATGACCTGCGAATTTTCATTAAGTAATGCTATAAAATATTCAGCTACGAAAATTTGTAAGGTAAAAATTTCGCATTCAGTAAAATAAATAAAAAGTTTTATTAAGATTTTAACCATCGCGTTAGTTACTATATTGAAATAAAAAAAACTCCATCGGCCACCTGTAATTTATTTTCGAATTTGAATTTTGAGATAAAAATAGCACTGAATTTTGTATTTTGAAATTAATCTCATCTCTTAATAGTAAAATATGAAACCAAAAAAAAATAGTAACTTATTAAAAATTTTCTAAGGTCAAAACTAGCAAGTAAATACTCTTAAATGTAGTAGCTTCCTTTTGCATGAACAATGAATCTTTTCAAAACCATCTTCTTATCATTTCGTTGGCTAATAAAAAACTAAACCTTACCAATTAATTATTTTATGTTGCAACTACGCTTCAAATATTTCGGAAATTTATTCTACTGATCAAAAATCTCTACAATTTTTATCTAAAAGCATTCAAATAAAATAGACGAAAAGCTTTATTAAGACTTTAGTCATATTATGACTTGCACCTTCATTCATTTCTAGCCAATATTTTAAGAAAAAATATTGTGACAAATGATAAACATAAAATAATACAGTACTCTGATGTAAAGTTCCGAAAGTACCATTTTTTCGAGTGGAAGATTGTCGTTGAGGGCATTTGGACTGATAAATTCGGCGACAATATCCTCTGATAACGCATTCACTGAGGCAACAACACCGATCTGGTAGTGAAGAATGAGAATAAGTGTCAAATGTAGAATGAGAATACGGCTTGCTGCTTGCAAGGTATGTATGCGATGACGAAGGTGCAAAAGGTATTGCGATAGCTGATGGCGCATCACATCTGCTGTCACACTTCATTTCATATCAAAATCAAAGCAACTAGGATGGAGTAACTGTCGAACTGTCCAAACGTTGACAAGTATTCAAACTGTGTGCAGATAAACTTGCAGGAATTTCAATCAACGCAAACACGATAGTCGGATTGATTTTATGCACCACTGTTCTTGACTGCTTGAATGCCTTAAATACATAATTAAATATTACATGAACTGATTTATTTCTATTTTGAAGTGAAAATGAAGTATTATCTAAAGTCAAGACTCGAAACAAATTAAGTGTCAAAACTGACTGCATATGCACAACAATTCTGCTTCATAAAAAATATATTGGAAGAATTTACTTGAAGTAGCAAAACAGTATCATTTTTTCCAATTAAAAATTATCAATCAATCAATAAATACATGAAAATAAAATTTAGAGCAGAGAAAAGTTACACATTAAAGTGTAGATATTTCCTACAGAACTCAAATAATTCATTCCAACAGTTCATAAGCAGCAATATAACAACATTAGATGATACTTCAACATGCCGCTTCCATTGTATCATTGAGCTTTTTTAATGTTACGCATGAAAAATACCTAATTAGAATTGCCTAAATTCTCTTTAATAAATAGCACTGATTACATTCAGCAGTAATGAATTCCTCTGATACTATCAGCTCTGATACAAAACAAGAACAGATTGTGAGATAAACACGTGGATGTCATTAACAATCATCCAGCTCTGATGTGATAGTCAAAGCAAGACGAGCTTACATTTATCACTGTTCTAGGTCGACTTTTTAGTAGCTCGAACTGAAATGTGACCTAATTTCCGATATTAATAATTAACATAACTCAATTAGCATTAATGGAAACCAACTTGTATAAATTCGTGCAAATCTGAGACAAAATATAAGGTTAAGAAAATATGGGAAATTTCAGCTTGATTAATAGGCATCAATTAAAGTGTGCTGATGGTTACAATGAATAATAATGATACAAAATGCGGTTACATTTACATTTTTGATTATTCATTATATTTATGCAGAATGAAATAATAATTATGAGATAGATCAAAAATAATGAATTGAAGGAGTGTTAAATTATTCAAGTCCTTCCTTATATTCAGAAAAAGATGAGGAAATTCAATAATAAAGGTATGTGATCGCTTGAAAATGGGAAAAGAATGAAGAATACATCGAAAGTTGACCTGAATATTTTATAAACTTAGCTGGCTAAATAATATATCATTCAATTTCTTACACATTACAATAAAGGAGATCCGCACTAACAAATACTGCGATAGCTATATGAGATTTGGTCGCATTTCCGAATCAAAGAGGATTAATTCCGACTCCTTTAAGATCAACTATATAAGAGGATTCTTCTCGGTACAGCAGCAAACCTTTTTACTTTGATAAATATGATGACAACTGAGATAAAGTTAAACTATTATCACCAAAATGTGACTAACATTAATTTAAAAAAGTAGTGAGTAAAAGAAGACAATTTTAATAAATGGTAAAATTTTAACGATAACGAGATAATGATACGAAAAAAGACAACTATTAAACAGATCTCAACAATCTAAAATAACTATAAATATCATAGGATGCTGAGTCTGAGTGACTTGAGCAGTAGGTAGTAGCCCAGATTTAGTTAATTTCGTGTGTGTTATTTCCATACACGATTCAAGGAACACAACAAGTGCTTAGGATGCAAAAAGAAGCAAACTGCAAACTGAAGAGTGGCATGTTAGCCATCGTAGAAATTCTAAGACTAAATACAGGAAGAGATTAAGCTATACAACTATGTGATGCATGTCATCCAGTTCCGGTCACTTTAAATTTTTAATTTCAAATTTAGAGTTGTAGCAAGTGCGAAAGTATTTACTAATATGCATAAACAAACAAGTAGTATTCATTTGTCTTCAATGCCACCGAGCAATTCTGAATAAGTTTTCAGAAACGATAAATAATCATTCATTTATTAGTTTACTTTATTTATTTACTTACTTATTAATTTAATTATCTATCTAATCTGCTTTTCCCTTTCTCATTTTGTTTGCCTCAGCACTGTTTAGTTAACGTTTAATGGCAATCAAGCTAATGTCAGTCATTGAATGCACAAACACGCTAGCTGGTCATGCACATACAAATTGTCTCTTACATAACATTCAAATCTAAATTTGTTTCTTCGACCAATTAACCATTAAAAAAAAGTAAAATAATCAACCACATGAAACGTTTTACTTGATAATATACAAATATGAGAACAATTATCTGCCGTCCTAACTTGAACAATTATTACCTGTAATAATCAATCGTGTAGTTCTTAACCAAATCGTGTTCCGTTTTGAATTACTCAATAAAAGTGATTTGCTGCTCTATAGTCATACATAGAATTTACTTTCTACACGTAAATACTATTGAACTTTTCTAACAAAAATTAAAAATTACTACTTTTTATTACAAAATTTTTCAATAACAGCTTCAGACTGAAAACATCCTCAAAATACAGTGATGTCAGTTACTGTTTCAAAGTTGCGATGAAATTAGAAAACAGAACCAACTATACTTGGTACTTTATATATAAGTATACATACCATCATATCACTAAAAAATCATATTTTCATGTCAATTATAAATGACAGATGCAAAATTGTTTTGCATTTCTATTCACAGACATTAGAATAATTTTTTAACGGATACTTTGTTTGATTAAACCTCGTCAGGTACAATGGATTTTTATTCTCAAAATTTAAGGATCAGTTTATTTTTTGATCTAGGTTGATATTAACGCGAAAATTTTCGTATTTTAAGAATTAATTCTGGAGTGTATACTATTTCCGCATCTTTTATTTGCTGCAAACAACAAATATCTATTTATTCCTACATTTTTTGTGTTTTAAATATAACAATTAAATCTCATTTGATCTTTTTTTACAAATTTTCATAAGTGGCAGAAATTTGAAAGATATTGATATTAATGATGTTATTGTAATAATTTATATTAACGCAATTAATGATAACATTCCCTAGATTCATCTATGAAATAATCGTTTAAATGAACAACTACTGAGTTCAATTTCTACAGCGAGAGAAAAACATATAAAAAATCTTGTAATAAATGTGATTATAAAAATACAGTCAAAAAATTTATGGAATTTTTAATTACAACTGCAAAGAAAGATTTATCCGCAAATAATAAATTTTATGAGTACTTTTATCTTGCTATGCTACTTCTTTGCTTGCTTTTGTTCTTACTATTATAATTTTTTATGTCACAAAGCATTTTGGCTGCTAAAATAAGCGCAAATATTGAAAGAATAAATAGAAAGACTGTATGCATAAACAAAAATTTGAGCTACTAATGCTGCTGACACTATTTGATGCACCAAAAAGTTTTTGCACTGCCGTTTTTTCCAAAAAAAGCTCACCACTATGCTTCATCTAATGAATTGCCACTGATTAGTGCGCAACTGAAACTGAAAATTGCATGGCAAGAACAAAAATTTTGAAGTAACTGTGCGAGTCAACACCTCTTGCAAGCAGCCATAGTATTTTGTAATAGAAAATTTTTCTTAAAAAAAATTACAGATTAAAAATTAAGTAAACAACCACAGGATTTTGTAACGCAACTACAGAAATCTATAACCCATATTTCTTCTTTTCTTATTATAGCTGCGATGAACTTTTGCATTAAATAATACAAACAGAATGAGCTATGAAATGTGGCAAGCAGAAGAACATTACGAGTTAATGAAAAAGCATGGCTTCCAGCTATAACGCTGAAATGATGCAGTAAGATATTATAGCGACAATGGCATACATGCACAGATCCAATTATGTGCGATGAACAGCATTAAAACTTGGAACGGCATAAAAATGAAGCCCGTAAATTTAGCTATATTAAAAAGTTGATTATCATTATTGCCACTTAATTTCTGATTGACAAATATTACATTTACAGTAATTACTATGCCACTTTAAATTCAGATTCATAAATGTAGAAAGAGTTTTATAGCTCAAGTAAGAAATTTTTCGATATATTTGAACGACACTCAAATTATTATATGAAAATCAACAACTTTTTCAAATGCTATCTAACAAGTTTAAAATAATTTCAGTGGCATTGATTACACAAAAATGCAAAAATTGGTGGGAAGGCAAATTGCGAGAGCGAAGAAGCGTAAGGAATATAACTGATGTGATAAATTCTTAGGAATAGAAATAAACTTGAAATTGTAATTATCAGTGACAGAATGAGAAAAGATACTATGCATTTTAGCTGCAAACGATGACTTATCTACCATCATTTAACTCGAAGATATTTTACTTGCGAGTTACATACACACACACGCATACAAGTACGCGATTAGTAGTTGACATCATTCGCCTTTCGATGACACTGTATGACATGTAGATGGATTCAGGTGAAAAGCACCACAAAGGCAACTATTAAAATTGATTAACTCTAGGAATAAGCGAATGCTAACATTCATTTGAAACAGATTGGATAGAAGGTAGAGACTAATCACATATCACGTTAAAAAAGGAGAAATTGAAGCGCCAATGACGGGTAAATGAATTTCATGTACGAAAGAAATTATTTTAAATCAGAAAGTCAATAAGATAAAAAAGTAAGAGCTGTCAAGACATTTAAAAATAAACATAGCATTTATATTTAAAAAATTTTAGAATTTGCATGATATGCGAGAGAGCCAAAAGAAAAGTCAAAAAATATTAAAATTAGGCAAAACATTATTTTTAATAATAAAATGCAAACATAAAAACATGAAATAATGTCTCACGAGGAAAGAACAAGCAACTAACTACATGCTAGGATAATGCGTGACAATTGAAGGTATCCTTTAGCAGAAATTATTCAGAACTTCACGTGGTCGGAATTCCATTAAAAGAAATTTCATTTCTCACAAATGACTCTATCATTTAAATGAATTCCAAAGAGTATTGACAAACTAAACACTGGGAGGAAGAAACTTGCGGTTAAATTATTGGCTAAGCAATCAAATG